TTTTTTAAGAATCTCCGAGTCCTCTGTAAACTTGATGGTCAGATCTGATTTTCTAACAGCAGATTCTATTGGTTGAAGTTTTTTATATAGGCAAATTTCCTTCTACCTTTTATCCGGTTTAGGGTTAGGGTTTATATTAACAATTATATTGTTATTAATTGTTTTTGTTGTTGAATTTGAAAAAAGTAAAAAAAAATTTTAGTCATCTGCATTAAGTAAAAATAAAACCACAGATGTTCTTGCAGATAAAAACATGTATATATATTTTTAAGATATGACATTTCAAAACATAAATGTAATATACTCAAGGAGTGTTTTTACAAGTGCTTAGTGTATTGTTAAATTTTTTATGTTATTTGTAATGCAGACAAAAGGAAAATGTAGCAAATAGAGGGAAAAAGTGGACTTGAGTTACTTTGCACTAAGTTCCTTTTGTATTAAAAATAATAATTAAGGCAACGCACTAACAGTAAACAATACTTAACAATGGGTCCTATTTCCGCTCTTCTGCTAAGCCCGTATCCAGGCGGACTTCGGCGAATTACCCACAATTCATTGCTGCATGTGACATATGAATTCTGGCAATGTGTTTTTTCAAAGAAAATAGTATGACAAGGCACTGATCAGTAACAAAAGAGTCTGATCTGATAAAAAGAATAGTCACAAGCTAACTGTGACGAAAGTAAAACAAAATGTTAATAAAAGAGGAACTTCAAATCTTAAATGACATATAAATAATGGGCTTTTGTGATGTTGCAACATTTAAACACTCTCTTAAATAAAATTATTTCACTTTAAAAATGGAGGTGATTTTTTAGAAAGCAGTATTTATGAATTAAACTTTGCCAGAGGATTAAATATATCACAATTTACCTCTTCATCTTTGTTAGACTCAGTTTTATGATATTAAAACTTAAAAATGGAATAGACTTCTTGTACAAGATCCACTTCTGAAACCTTGAAAAAATGTTTATTGCCTCAAAATGCAAAAATAGATTTTTATTTTGAATTTCTTTTGCAGAAAGTCATTACAGGGAAAAATTCACACATAATTATGAAATTAGTATGTTCATTTTTGTGGGAGTGAAATACAAAGATATTTGGTTTCTATTTTTATTTTTTTAAGAGATTATCATGATTTTTAAACGTTTTCTTCATAGAGGAAGAATATTGATGTCAAAGTTCCTGATTAATTTCTCGTAGATCTTTGGTCTATAAAGTCACAACATTCACAGTCAGAGATTGCATGTTGTTTTTTGTTTGCTTTGGTTTTGTTTGAGTAATGACTGAATATGTAATCATGTCTGCAGAGTTGCAGAGGAAATTGCCTTTAAGATTGAATATTAGAACATTTGAGTGTGTATTTTTTATCATATGGCAAAGTTCACAGAGCAAGCTGTGTCTGTTGCTAAAAAAATCAGTTTTCATATTAAAATAACTTTTGTTTGACTCTCCTGAACATGTGATTCCATCTAATTTTGATCCATATTCAACAAGTCATAACACACATTTGAACAGCAAAATATCTCTTGCAATGAATTTTGGAAGCAAAAATATGTCTACTACATTTAAAATTGATTTTTGTTGTAGTTGTACTTTTTAGCAGCACAAATATGGATGTGGAAGTTGGGACACAGAAGCCTTCTGTCCCAATTCTCATTTTTGCTGCTTGTGACCTGAACACTAGAACCCTTGTTCACTTTGACGTCATAGAGGGGCGCAGGGCGAGGATTGGAACACCTGGTCATAATCATTTTTACGTCAACGGGTTCTTCTTGTTCTTATTCCATTTTTTTATAGTGGTTGGGCAAGCAAAGTTCAGATGTGCATCACCGCCATCTACTGGAATGGAGTGCGGATCGAGATGCTAAATATATACTACACGGATTTTAAAACTAAAATAAAAATATATATACGGTACATAGTTTTTCTATTATCTTTGTTTTTTAAGATACCGTAATAAGATTCAGAAGAGGAAAGTGTATTAAAAAGGTCTTGTACTTTCACTGTTTCATTCTTGAAAACAAAAACCGGATCTTCTTGCAGGATGTTTTCCCTCTTTAAATAATATCTTGCTTAACATGTATGACCACTAAGTAATCTAGATATTAATGCTATAAAGCCACCTGAGTGCTATGGTTAGCTGTACATAAAGTGTTTTTTTTTTTCGTCGTTGTTGTTGTTTTAACTTTATTTAAATAAATGACAAGTAACAAATAAACGAATTAAGTATACAAAATTATGCAGCACTTACATGAACAAACAGCCAGAGGTGTTAATTAGACAGACATACAAAGAGATAGAAATTGTCATTTTCATTGGTTGGTTCTGTTATTGTTTTCATAATTCCATTTCTTGAATGAAATGAGGAAAACGTGGCGTCTTGTTAGTAGTTCCATAAATTAGCAAGTTTATTAAAGAAAACACTTAGAAAGAAACACTAAAAGCACTTAGCATTCTTTCTGGAGAATCTAGAAAAACAAAGTAAGACATTTTCCCAACATAAGGAGCGATTCCTTAAAATCTGGTTATTAATAAACCTGCTAAACTTCTTCTGAAAGGGCAGGGCTAAGAAAGATGCATCACAGTTTCTGGAGGGCCATCAAAAAAGCTATAATTAATATTTATGTCTTTGGCTGGGTAAATTTTATGATGCAGATTAAATGACACGTCATACACCTTGTTTACAATTAAATATTTATGGGGGATCATTCAGTTTTTTAACGGCTCTAATAAAAGGTTATATATGGACGAGAAATGATCACTTCTTGAAACGACCTTCTCTTTCTTTCTCCTGTGAAAAGCAGATTTTCCCACCGATGGCTCAGTGAGGAAAATCACTGTTAGTGAAGTATTAAAAGTATTATTGGCGTTTTTAAACAACATTAAGGTCAGTCAGTGTTTCTTTAAAAACAGGACGTTGTAGCTTCTTTATGACGTAGATTCCGGCTGCAGTTGAAACGTCTCCACCTGGTGGTCACTTCGGGATGACTTTAAACTGGGTTCCTGCTGGTTCGGCCGGAAGCGGCTAGCAGCATTAGCAGCATTAGCTTTTCCAGCTGCGTGTTGGTCAGCTGACTGATCATGTGACTCCCGGTCGCTCCGGTTCCCACCTGAGAATATTTCCGTTTCTCCTCGAACTTCCCGCAGCAGGGAGGCATGAAGCTGGAGACCCAGTGAGCAGCTGCTGGGTTCAACAAGCGAGCCTGGTTCTGGTTCTGGTTCGGGCGGTGAGTCATTTCCTGCTGCTTATTATTGTATCTTTAGATCACCTGACTGGAAGCCACATCCACCTTAATCATGCCAGAGAGCCGCTCTTCTTATTAAAACGACGAAAGAGAAACATATCCAGTTTCCCATCTGGGTCATCTGAGCTGAACAGAACCTTCTGCTGTTCCGGCGGGGGTTGGACCTCTCCGACTTTAATATGGATCAGAACATTTATAAATATCTCCCCAGACAGACGGGATCTACTTTGATCCAGTTCGGTCTGGTGTGGGCTCATGGACCAACTGCTGGTCTGTCCCTTTAATTGTGCTTTAACTAGACCAGATGATGAGAGCTGTGTCCATCAGAGCCGGTGGATTTCTGGTTAAAGCATGTTTGCTCTTTATTCAGTGAAGTTACTCAGTGGTCAGAGGATCCAGTGATTGTAGAGATACTTTAAGATAATATTTTTCAATAAAAGAAAAACTACATTGTAGTAAAACTACTTTTTCTGTATAAAATGTAAGTAGTTCCAGTAGAGAGCAGGTGCTCTCTGCTGGAGAAGATGCTTCAGGTCAGAATCTGCTGCTTCCAGCTGGGCCTTCCTCCCATCTCCATCACCAGTTTCTAAAACTGTAGCTAACAGCATCAAACTGTAGCTTTATTACGGCATGGAGAGCCTGATGCTACTTCCATCCCTAGCTTATAAGGTGAGAGCAGTGAGGCTGCAGCCCAGTTCTGGACCCACCATTCTGTTGGTTCTGTTGGTTCTGATGCAGCCTGTTTGTCTCTACTTCCTGTCCTCTGCAGGAAGTTTTTCTAATTTGGGTGTGGAAGATCCTCCAGGATGGGTCCAGACGGGAAGAAGCTGCTGAACATCGTCATCCTCGGCTTCGGCTTCATGTTCATGTTCACAGCTTTCCAGACATGTGGAAACATTGAGGTGGGTCGGTTCTGGTTCTGGTTCTGGTTCTGGATCAGCAGCTGAAGCTCCTCCTCTTTGTGTTTGCAGCAAACCGTCATCAAGAGCTTCAACAGCACCGAGTTTCATGGAAGCGGCTATACAAGGTAAGGTTCTGGTCCTGGTTCTGGTTCAGGGCCAGGTTCTGGTTCTGATGGTCTCCTCCTCCCAGCATGGCGATCATTTACGGCGTTTTCTCCGCCTCCAACCTGATGGCGCCCTCCGTGGTGACGCTCATCGGCCCGCAGGTCTCCATGTTCCTCAGTGGGATCCTGTACAGGTACCACTTCCTGCCACACACCTCAAGGTTCTGACCCGGTTCCGACGCGGTTCTGACCCATCTCCTGTCTCCAGCGGCTACATCGCCATGTTCATCCACCCGCTCACCTGGAGCTTCTACACGGCCTCCGTCCTGGTGGGCGTGGCCGCCGCAGGTACAGCTGACGTCCCTCCTCGTCCTCCTCGTCCTCCTCGTCCTCTTCCTCTAACCTCTCTCTCTCTCCAGTCTTGTGGACGGCACAGGGAAATGTTTTGGCGATCAATTCCACCGATCGATCCATCGGGAGGAACAGTGGCGTTTTCTGGTCGCTGCTCCAGTTCAGGTAAACCGGGTCTTCCAGCTGAACCAGAACCAATGCTAGCGCTTAGCTGGTTGATGCTAGTGAGGGTCTGGTTACCAAGAAAACCACAGACAGGGTTTTACGAGAACCCTGAAGGAAAGTATTCACACCCCTTTCTCTTCCTATTTACCCGGTTCTGACCCAGTTTTTACTGAGTTCTGACCCAGGGAGTTGATGGGTCGGTGTGGATCTTTCCAGCTGGAGCTTTGGTCTCAGAGTTCCTCTCATGGGTGTCGTCCTTTCTCCGAGTTTTCCAGTCACTGTCAGTTTATTCTCAGTTTTTACCATGATCAGCTTCCTGATTGGGTCAGCGCTCAGTCAGAGGAAGCTGCTTCAGTTTCATACATTTTAACATACGGACAATAAAAACAACCATCATCGGTCCTCGTACGGCAGATTTACCTGTGAGCGATGGCGTTCGGCTCCTACAGGTGATCCTCTCGTCTCGTTCCGAGCCTGTCGCCTGCTGATATTCACTCTTCTATTTTTGCATAGATAAGATTTTTATTTCTCATCCATCCATTTTCTTCCGCTTATCCGGGATCGGGTCGCGGGGGCAGCAGCTTCAGAAG